TCTCTCTCTCTCTCTCTCTCTCTCTCTCTTTTCCTCTTTCCTCTCTTTCTCTCCTTTTCTTTCTCCATTTTTTTTGACCATGACATCTAGACCTCTTGACCAGTCAATGCAATGTTTGCATCTGACACATAATTATTATCCTTACTTCAAATTCTGCAAGAATCTGGATGGCTACATTGTGCTTATGAATAACTTTTCTTCACAGAATTTCGACCTCATTTCCAAAGACCTTCAATTCTGTTTTGTTTCACCTCTTCCTCACTCTTAGACTTACTCCTGGCTCAATCCTCAAGTGTTTCTACCAGGGAAACTACTGATCCATATGGAAACGTACTGAATGAATGTTGGACTTCATTGAGTTTGAACCACAAGCAACATTGTTCTTTCAAATGCTAGTGACCTATATAGCACACTCTGTTAGCTTAGTTCTTGTTCTTAAGGTAAAATCCCAGGAAGATTAATAACTTTTTTTATTCCATTTAATAATAGCCTTTCACACATGTTTGGTCAAGACAGCAGCTTCCTTTCACTAGTTGAAACAAACAATGCCTCATTTAATAAAATGTTAAACCTCTTCTCTCTTAGTCAGGCCCACTTGAAAGATATGTTGGCAGGTAGTTTGTTCTGTCTCCCTCGCTCCTTCTCTCTCCCTCTCTCCCTCTCTCCTCCTACCCCCCCTTCCTAACTCTTCACAGATACGCTGCTGCCTCCTCCACAGGGTGAACAGAAGCCAGCAGACTGTAATAACTCTGCCAGATGCACAGACCTATCTGTATTTGCCATTCTTCTTCTCCACAGAAAGGAGTCAAATTCTCTTCTCTAATCTCTTGTTTCTGGACCCCATTCTTCTCCGAAAACTTCCATGGCAGGCCATTGGAATTTTCATCCGCGTTTACTCATTTCCAGGTTAGCTTTACCAAAAACATCCTTTCTGACTTTATTCTCAATTGAAAGCTCCCCTACCTCACCTCTAGCTTCACACGCTACTCAGATCTGCATTTGCTAACTCCACCTTCTTAACAACTTCAAACTGACTTCTGTCTCACATTTTACTCAAAAGAGGTTTCTTAGGATTATCAGCCTCCGCAGTGCTGCATCCAGTGCTAAGTACTTTTCAGGTTCAACACTACAAACCTCTTCAGTACCTAAAGGACTCAGTGACTTCTTCTTGTTGCAAGCCCTGGTTTCTGTAGCACCTCACTCTTGTTTCTTTTCCCTACATCTCTTCCTCCTCCTCTTCCTTTTCTTTGTCTCCTTTTTTTTAAAAATTTTTTTTGATACAGGGTCTCACTGTGTGCTATAGGCTGGCCTTGAACTTCATTATGTAGCCCAGGCTGGCCTCGAACTGACTGTAATCCTCTCACCTCAGCCTCCAGAGTGCTGGGATTACAGACATGGGCCACCACGCCCAGCCCTCTGATTGTTCTTCTGTATTCCTTACCAGTTCATTTTAGCTTACCCTTTCTTAAAACAGGATTTTCTATGAAACTCCATCTCAGGCACTTATATTTTGTTCCTCTAGTATTTCTCCTTGAAAGCTCATGTTTTCATAGATTTAATGATTGTAGACATGGAAAACTATAAAATTTCTTTCTGCAGCTCAGATCCTTCTCCTAAATCCACATATCCAACTGCCTGCTCAACATCATGTGGATGTTGTAAATAAACCCCCAATTAAAAAATGCTCACAGCCAAACTTGTGCTTTTAACTGCTTGTTTTTAATGCCATCACCACACATAAAGTCTTTGTTTTGTTTTGGTTTGGTTTGGTACTGGAGATCAAACTCAGAACCTTGAGCTTGCCAGGAAGGCACTTATGCCACCGAGCTATCGCCCCAGGCCCTAAGTGTGCGTAGTTTTTAATAAACATACTCATCTAAATTCACATTTTATTGGTATTAATTCATTTTATTCCTACAACACAATGAGGTGGAATATTATTCCACCATGTTTTTCAAGCAAAACATGAGAGAGAGAAGTTAAGCACGTTGCCCAGAGTCACAGAGCCTCCAGCTGGCAAACCTGGATTTGAAAGCTCGCATTCTGTTTCATGGCCCAGGTATTCAGCCACTGCTGTATTAGGTGGACCCTTAAAACCACTCTCTTCCCCATCTCAGCCATGTCTGACCATTTTACCAACATAAACATGTGTGGGCTCCGCTCGGGGCTCTCCATCTCCACGGCTGTCACCTTGGCTTAGGACAGCACCACTCTGGCCTGGGTTATACTAGGATCATCGTCCTGGGCTCCAGGCATCAAGCCTGCTGATTGCAGACCTGTACTGACATCTTAAAAATAAATCCCAACGTATTTAAGAAATATATGAAGAATGTCTTTGGGATTCATATATATTCTAAATCCATTCATGGTGTTTTTAAGGCTGGAATGTGTACAACAAGTTTGAAAGATAAAAATTTTTGTCAAACAACTTAATGAGGTTATTACAGTAGCTCAAAGTTGACTATTATGAATAGCATGACAGTGAACACAGGGTGCAGGTATTTCTCTGCAAAATTGATTTTTGTTTTGCAAAATTTTCTCTGCAGAATAAATTGCATTTCTTCTGCACTTATATCCAGAAATTGCATGGCTGCACTGTGGCAACATTTATTTTCTGGGTGGCCTTATTTTTAATTTTTTTGAGGAAACTATAGTGTTTTCCATACTGGCTGCACTAGGTTACATGCCTGAAAACACCTTCCAAGTATTCTTTTTTCTCATGGATGATTAAATAATAACATTGCTTTATGCTGTCTGTGGCATTGGTAAAAAGCAGGATCTTTTGGTAAAATCATGATAAGGAAAAATTACTACTTTCTAAAAGTCATTATGGGGGCTGGAGAGATGGCTCAGTGGTCTAAAGCACCTACTTAGAGCAAGCTTAGCAAAAGCATCAGGGACCGCGGTTCAATCCCCCAGCACCACATGCCAGCCAGCCCGCCCCCTGGTGGGCTGAGC